GTACCAGTCCCCCTCGATCTGGAAGGCCTCGATGTCGTTGGGCTTGCGGACCTTCTGGCTGTCGATGTCCTGGATCTTGATGAACTTGTCCACGGCCGTGTCCCAGCGGTAGATGTAGGAGCCGCCGAAGAGCTGGGCCACCACCACGTAGAGCTGGTCCTGAGCCACGATGGGCTTGCAGTGCACCGCCGAGTGAGCTGCCGGCGGGACCGCGGCACGTCAGGGCTCTGCCCTCCCCGGGTCACCCCAAATGAGGGTCCCAACAGCCCCCCCGCCCGCTGCCTCACCGGGGATGCGGTCGAAGTCGCGGAGTTTGCGCTCCACGTAGTCCCACTTGAGGATGGAGCAGCTGCTGGCACTGGGCTGTGCCAGGGCCACGTACAGGTCGCTGTCGTAGGTGAAGGGCTCGGCTGACACCGCCTGGAAGGGCAGGACCTGGTGCATCACGAAATCTGGGGAGGGGAGAGGTGGCAGTGAGGGTCCGGGCACCCAGGAGCGGGGTGACGGGTGACGGTCATCCCTTGCCTGTGGTGATGCACTGGAAGTCACCGAGCTCCAGGTCCCGGATCCGCTGCCCCTCGAACTGCCCGGGGCTGCTGCAGAAGATGGCAGGGACCGTGGTGTTGGTTCTCTCCAGCCACTCCACCAGCCACTTGATCTTGCAGTCGCAGACCAGCGTGTTGCCACGGAGGTCCCTGCCAAGGGTGGCACCGAGTCACCCCCAGCACGCACCGGGGTGTCACCCTGTCACCCTCTCCCCAGTCCGGTGCCCCAGGGATCCCTGCCAGGCCCCAGCACACAGGGTCCTCCTCCCAAGCCCCGGGATGTCACCCTCTCCCCAGCCCGGTGTCCCGGGTGTTCCCGGTGCCGTGGCAGCCTCACAGGTCACTCAGGATGTCCAACGGCTTGAAGAGGTCCCGGGGCAGCGTCTGCAGGTTGTTGTTGGCCAAGGACCTGCGAGACAAGAAGGGTCATGGGGACACATCTCTGGCAAAGCCACCCCCACCATGTCCCCTGCAGGACCCCCACGTGCTCACAGGTGTGTCAGGGACTTGAGCCCACGGAAAGTGCCCTTGGAGAGCGCCTGGATGTCGTTGTTCTCGATGAACCTGTGGCAGGAGGAGACGGTGGCACGGCCGCCCCGAGG